CCTTCACAGGCTACAAAGAGAGAAAGCACAGGCTCACAAACGTTCCCAGAGAATCACCGAGCAACCATAGCACAATTCCCTCGTTCTCCCAAGCTGCACAAGAACAGCAGCTTCAGGTGGAAAATACAAAATGTATCAGCCATATCAAGTAGTCTGTTTCAATCAAGCAGTTTACATTGTGCTTCATTCTCGAAGCCAATGCCATTCAAGTAGAATTCCGCACTTTTGGACATCTGTAGGAAAACCAAAGAAGATTACGAGCAAGATTAACATGGGAGGAAGAGATCTCATATACTGCTTCTTCCTCTTCCCAAGGGAATTAAAACACTCACTTTCCAGCTTCTGAGGAATTCCTTACAGAATTCTGGGAATTGGCTGGAGATCACACCTAGCATTGTCACATGCCAGGCAAACCCACACTAACAGCAACAAGGGCCCAGGTATCCCACGTTCCCGACGAGCGTTACAGGCACTAGCCTAGTCACGCTGCTCTTCCTCAGCTTTACTGATTGCTTATTTATGTACAAAAAAGAAAGCTTTCCAAAAGTTGCTCAGCAGGGAAATCAAATGAAACCACCTCATACAATCGTATCCAGACAGGTAGAGACTACCCACATAATCTCCTCCAGTTTTGGGAAGCCAAAAGACTCTCAGAGTGCTTTCTCTCTCTCTCGCTCTCTGTCTCAGGGCCTCCCGTTCATCCGGGATCGCGGTATCGGGATTTATCTGTTTCGGGATTGCAGCTTTGTGACGACACGGGCCTCGGTCAAGGGGTGGTGAGCAATCACACCGTGCATCACTCGTTCGTACATGTTTATCCTTGTACATATCCGTATATATACGTATTGGTAGCGGTAGTAGTAAATTGTTCTTATCTCAACCCTCGGGTCTCTTTTCTTTTTCCTCTTTGATTCTCTCCCTCATCCCTGGGGGTGGGGGAGGGTGAGAGAGGGACTGTGTAGGGTTTAGTTGCCGGAGCAGCCTAACCCACGACACAGTCCCAGAAATACTTTTGAAACAAAAAGTGCAAAAATGAGTGCAGCAAGTTAAGTGTGAATCCACAAATGGTTCCACAGACTGAAATCTCATTTCCCAGCATACTCCTTGATTTCCCAGGATATTGTCTAGCTTTGGAACACCACAGAATGACAGAAAGAGAGCATCTTATTTTGTTCCTCCAGGAGGAAGAGAAGATCTCACTATCTTATAGCCCAGACAAAAGGTTCTAGATTTGCTTTCACAAACTCAGTTCCTAGATCGCATATGTTGTAAAGTTTCTCACCTCACTGACGCTTGGTGGCCATTTAAATCCAGCAACTGTTCCAGTCATCACTCTCTTCACTGTACTTGACTCTGGAATTGTGAGGTCCTGAGGAGACAGAAGGCCGATCAGAAAGAGCTCACAACCTCCATGGCTGGCCACAGCACATTGATCACATCAGCAAACACAGTTTTGAAAAGCACTACCGGTGCCTTCCGTTTCACATGCCTTTCCATGAAGTGCTCGTATTTAAAACACACAGCGAGATGAAAACATGAACTGTCAATGAAGGAATTCAACCACAGTTATGGCTTCTGGAAAATCCATTCTTCACATGGAAGAGGAATCACTGCACTTGTGTGATCATGCAATGAACGGAGAAGCAAATGAACACACTTGATCCAGCATTTTGCTCTGGGGGATGCAAAAAGCTAAACAAATGGGTGAAGAACATCACCACAGTCTGAACTCTTCTAATCCTCCACTGTCATAAAAAAATAGCCTACCTGTTAAGAGGAGAACCTTCAAAGCATGAGGCTGATAGTCACATCTGCTCAACTTTGCAGAATCCATGAAACAAACTGGTATGTGGACTGCCCCATTCGCTGAACAGGTTCTGATTTGTAATGTCATGATAATACTCAATGCATCAGGTTTTTTACTGTTGAGCAGATTAAAATTTATCTTTCTTAATTCCCCAAGATATATAGGTTAAAATAAGTCTTTATGCTATAGGTTATAGACATGTGCTACAGCCATATAGGTCTTAATGCTGTATGAAGAGAGTGTGCAGGACTTCTGCACAGCATGTGTTATCTTCCTGAAATTAGGGTTCACAAGTGGAATTACATTATCTCCCCGCCAAAATTACTTCCTGAAAACGCACAATATACCTTACTGTCACGCAGAACCGTAAGAGAAGAGCACAGTTTGCAGAAAAAGGTAAAAGCAAGACTACTGGAAACAAGTGGGATTGATGCAACTGTTTCATCTGTTAGCAGGGACAATTTAGACATCAGTCTCCAACCTTGAAGTGCCATTTCAGCCTAGGGAGAGCCTTGCACACTAAAATTCTCTCCTTAGAGACCACGCTGCTGTTTCAACTGGTAAACTGGTGGATGAAACCTACTGTGATACTATGAAGTCATGCTGGTCTTTCAAAAATATTCATGAAAGCTTAAAAATGAGAATATTTTAATGATCATGTATACCTACAGAGCACTTCTAGAGAGAGCACACTTCAGCAACAACTGGATCCTTAAGTTTTGTGCATCCTTATTACTTAGAAAGCCAGAACGTGGATCGTTGACAGGGCAAAAACCCCCAAGTCCTGACACTGCAGTAACTCAGGACAGTGACACAAATGTTTTCTACCCTAGGGCTAAGAATTTGAGGAAATTATGAGAATCAGGCAAGAAGAAGATAAGATTTTAAAATTATTTCACAGGTGAAAATACAGAATTTAGGCAGTACTGTTACATTTTCAAGGCAATTTGTTTTAATTGTCAGTACATAACTTTCCAGAAGCTCTAAGGCTACTTTCCTACGTTAGCCCGCTTATTTTCACAGTCTGTGGCCAGATATTTATCCCACAGCTGGCCACCTCTTTGTGATAAGCTGTTTAAAACCACTCTGCTTGCAATTTGCCAGAAAAATAATTTCTACTACCACAATTAACTCACTCAGAGTACTCTGGTGCCCTGAGGTAGCTAACACATGCAATGCATCAACGCAACCAGAATTCTCCCAGCCACTAGTTTTGACCAATTTTGGAATGAATCTGGGTCCAAACCACAAAAACATTTTGCAAGTGGACAAAAAGGCCCCGTGGCTTATTGTAACAGAAATACGTGAAGATACAACACGCTCACAGCAAGAGACTTTGAAGTGAAAGTACATTGCCAGTAAAGTGTTTTCCTGCGTCAGTCAAGTTCTTTAACTATTAGTAAGAATTCACAAATATGCATCCATTTCTCTCCTCCTCCCACTCCCCCCACAAGGAGAAACTGATGGGCTCTGTTGTATAGCCTGATTTAACAGAAGATGGCTCTGAAAAAAAGGTGGTATTTCCTTCATAGCTAATACCTGAGATGATCAGCTTCATTTTACTACATCAAGAAAGAGTTTGCTGTTCAACCAGTGAAGGCCAATCCATTTACAACTCTGGAGATCCAAGACTACCGTGTTGACTTGCATCCTGAAGTGCACTGGAAGCAAAGACTGTGAAGCACAGCGTAACAAGATCCCTTTGAAGCACAGGTGAGCAAGCAGGCTGCCGCACGGTGTATCAGCTGAAGTCTCCCAGTGGTCTTCAGGCGTAGTTTCCGATGGAGTATGTGCATTGTAATAATCCACTGAAATAGTTATCCGTTTGGAAAAGGAAGATCTGGACCACAACAGAGAGTTCCACGATAAATAAAAAGGCTGGAACTCTGGATGAGGGTAGACAAGGTACTGGTGGCTATCATTGCTGTCACAGCATCCAGAAATAACAGGGAAGTAATGAGGATAAAATAATAACGCTCCAAGGCTGGACCTTTATAATAGAGGATGGAAATATATCCTATAACATAGAAGCTGAAAGGAATACAATTACATCTTCTGGCAGATTTCCCAGGCTACAAGAGTTTCTTCTTTAAGCCCTAGCCCTTAAGAACACCCCACCCTCTGCAAGTACTGAGGGGGAAGTTGAGTGACTACTCGTCACTTAATGATACAAGGCAGATGAGATGGAAGAAGTCAGGAATCAGATGAAGACCCACATTTCTTCGCTAACCCTTCCCTCACAAACTGAACTTGAGGGATGGCAAGATGAGAGCTGGTGTCTCATGATACAGCTCTCAAAGCCCTCTCAAAGATATGACTAGAACTGCTCAAAATAACTAACTAGTAAAAATTATAATGATTGTTGATTCACAATATGCTTGTCAAACGTATCAGGCAGCTAAATGGTCTAGAAGTAGTAACATGGAACAGCTTAAGAAAACCTGATACTGAAGTGACTCTTCCTGCTGGCCTGTTAGTCAAGGTGCCAGTCAAACCTAGAGTCCATCTGCAAAGTCCACAGGGCACTGGCGGACATGCACAACACAAACCTTCTCATCCTTGGGTGGACGCCCCCGCTTTCGGGGGCTCTGATCCTGGGCTCTTTTCAAAGGTGATTTTGATCCTCTCTCTGACGATACGGAAGAGACCCTCTTTTTTCCTTCCCCTGTGCCCTTCTTCAACTTCCCTTCAGACAAACTGGCTTTGCGTTTCTCTTCGCCAGCGGATTGCTTGCCTCTTTCTTCACTGGAATTACGCCGATTCTTCTCCTCATTGGAGTTATGGGAAGACGCCTGAGAGATTATAGAATAGAAGATGGTAAGGAAAGAAGAGAAGAGCTGGAGCGATTTTCATGCAAAACCAAGGATGTGAAGGACCCTGTGCTGATTACTACCGAGCAAAACAACAGCACAGTGACTTGAAAACTAGATATTTGTTAGCCCTTTGAAGTCGGTGAGTGAAGTTCCTGGTTAGTTGTCCTGCAAAAACACACCAGTTTAAGTGAGCGAGTAACAGAACAGGCCACTTGAAGACTTGCTGGGAGCACGTGCACGTATATGCACTTCCAATTTTCTAAAGACAGGATTAGTAGACATCAAATTCTAGCCCAAGACTTCAGATTGATTTATCATAAGCAGATCAATCAGCTTCTTCAGTTTCTCCATCAGTTTAACAACACTTTTTCCCCACCAAACAAGACTGAATGGGGAAGGAGAGGACAGGAAAAAAAAAAACAGAACACAACCAAACCACACAACAGAACATCCCCTCAACTTGCCAGATGCAACAAACTCCTTTCACATAAAAATGTATCTGACCATCATTCATGCCGTGACTTGTTTTGATGCTCCCAGTGAAAAAGAACCTACTCACCTGGTCCTTGCCTTTGGTTTTTCTAAGAAACTCCTCTACAGCATCCACAGCTTGCTGGAAGCGCTTACCCTTGTTAATCTTTATCATTTCCTCTTTGTGAGGGTGATAAGGCTTCAGCTGCTCCACTTTGATCCAAGCACTAGAAACAAAAAAAAAGAGTTAGTTATATTCTCCAGACAGCAACTTTCTCAAGCACACCACTTTTAGAAACACACAGAGGCACGTTTTCTCCAGAGCAGCCCGATGATGGCAGATGACAGCAGCCTGATCTCACTTGCTCTCTACACCCTGAGGGGCTGATTTCTGCATTCACTGAGAACTTTCTTCTGGCACTTTTAGTTGGTTTCTCTCTCCAGTTTTACATCTTCTCATGCTAGGAGTGCTCCGCTCTGAGTGTTATTCATATTCTCTATCAGCAGGACAGGTTTTGGAGGCGATCACAGGTACTTGTTTAGAGCAAAGGCTGCCTAGTGACTGCTCTTGTATCACCAGGAGGGACGCTCACAGCCAGATGCCTCCATTAAGGTAGCCAATAATATTATCTGCTCGAGAGGTTGTTGAAAGCAGAAGCCACATAACAATTCTACGCCACCAATCCCCTGTTCAAACATACTGTGCACACATAAATGACTGTAAAAACCGGAAGGAAAAAAGCAAAACTCCGTATCTCACAATCCAGCTGACCACAAATAAAGTGAGCACAAACACCACAGCTCGTTGCTGAACGTATTTCTGATGTACCTTGATATTCTGCAAAAACCAACATTTTTCACTTTTGAGGAAAAAGAAACATTTTCTTCACTGTTGATATTTTAAGATAAACTCGTACAGCAGCAGAGTATTAACTTGACTTAGTCCTGTGAGGAAATTCAAATGTTTCCACTGCTGCTAAATACGACTTTTTGACATTTACCAAACGGTTAAGTGGTCAAGTACAGGGTGACAACTCCACTTTCCTTCAGGCCGACAAGCTCTTCTACCACTCCTTCCCCACGGCTCAGGGGAACGCCTTTGCTTTCAATGTTCCTTGTGGCTCTCGCAGGGATTCGAGTACCTTCCTCTCTCCCCGAATTCTAGACCAGGCTTATCAGCCACACTGTTAAAAAGCTTTTTCCAGCCTCCTGAAAACAGACCTGCATAAGTTTTAGAAAAGCTGCTCCTGAGCTAGGATGGTCAACAGTGCTTCTCAGGGTACAGCAGCCCAGCACACAGTAAAAACCAGCCAAACTGATCTCCTCTGGTCCCAAAACATCTCACGTTACAAACACTGACTAGCCACGACTATAGGTTTTAGATATTCTCCAGCACAGTCCAGCTCAGTCCAGCTCCTGCAAGCAGGTGAAGTGGTTTAATAGCTGCCTTTTCAGACACTGTAATTAAGCATCACGTCATACAGCTAAACTGAACATAAAAGATGAAAATAATAAATAACAACAATGCTTTGCTGGATCTTGCTTGTCCTCTCTTCACAAAGCAGTAAAGCCCAGTAAACTCTTTAAGACTTAATGGAGATCTTTCTCTTCACTGGCTTTAACCATTGCTTGTAGTCAGGAACCAATTTACCTGAGGTAGACTAAAACTTTTTGGACTGCACTGCTAGAACTGACTGAAAAAAACGCTAGCATCCTTTCCACACTGCCAGTATAGCCTACAGCATGACTCCACCAAGGCCTGGAAGCAGAACCCAGTACTCTTTTGCACACAAAGCTGAATCCTTTTGCTTGGTTTACATTTTCTTCATAATGACTGACTTAACGTAATATAACGAGCCAAATCGTTACTTTCAGACCAGAGCCTGCCATCCAGCAGCTATTCAGGGAATCCCCCCTAGCTCCCAGACATTACAGTGAAACACATCTTAAAATCCTCTTACACTGTGAAGCTCTTCTGTGCAGCCCTCAATGACAAAGCATCCCCAGGTACTAGACAACACCAGCTCATAAGAAGAAGCCTTTCCATTACATATAAAAACGAAACAAAATTCTGGTGTACATTATAATAAAGTATGTTAAACATTGTTGCCAGTTTTGGATTTCTAAATAAAAATAACTTTTTTGCTATCAAGGCATTCTCCTAGGTTTCTGCACACCCTGTCCCTCCTCACCGCGCATGTTCATTAGCTCCCCTTCTCACTACTTTCCTTTGGTGTGGATCAAGTCTGAAGCACAAAGCTTTCTGGCTCCTGGCGTCGAAGGTGTATCTTGGCACTGGTGATCCCCCAGGACAAAGAGCTAGCTCTCACAGACAAACTAATGAATGAAAAACAGTCTTAAATGCTGCCTCTCAAGTTCATCCTTTGTGTGTCACCTACCTGGACAATCTTCTATAAGACACGAACACGTCTTCTGACACCAGATGTCCACAAAGCATTTGTGTGCAATGTTTCAAACACCAAGCAAAACCATTCATGTTTACACACAACATCTCTCTCTGTTAAGCAACGGCCTCAAAGCCAACGGAGGCCAATATTTAGGTGAGAGGCCTCCAGGATGCAACATTTAAAAGGAACCACTATTTCTCTCCTGACTCAGCAATGAATTCATGCCCTAGCAAAGCATTAGTGACACTACATTACTGAAGATGTCATATTTAAGATGAAATTGTGTTCATACTGTTGCACAGAGTCATCTGGTATCTGTAAAGAATGAGCTGAACGGAAAATGAAAAGATGTAAAAAAAGATACACGTTAGCGATGGGTTTCTCTGCTCATTTCTCCATATCTTTCCTCATCTCCTGCAAAACACCATTCTTGTAAAACTAACACTCATGTAAAACCCACAGTATATTCAAGAACAATAATCACAACTTTGAATGCTTGTAAAGCAGAGGCAAGTACGAATGTGACCTGGAGTGGCATGGAAAACAGTGGCACAGAGGAGATGCAGACAGATATCAGATTAAATCCACAATACGAGCTTAGCACAGGCAAGGAGACCTTAAAACCTCCAGCTTTCTAGCCACTCTCTTCCAGTCCAAATATATCAACTCCTAATGATAAACTGGAGAAATGAAAGTGAAGAAATGTCCACAAATACTTGCTTTTAGCAAGCCTTACAGTTAGGGACAGAAAACAGTGGCACTGTATCTCCAAATTTTAATGACTTACTACAGTCTGGGAAAAATTTCATAAAGTTTTACACTGCAGCAGTTTAGATGCCCACACAACCAATTTTGAAAGTCAAACCAATTGCTTGGTTATTTACAAGCCCAGTGTGTGCGAGCACACAGCAGAGAAATCAAGATGGGCTTCCTGCTGTTAAAAGGGAATGTCCCAGTTTTCATTGGTGAAACAACTCAAATAGCTGAACTCTGGACTTTGGTATGTAAACTTCTTAACTGAGAAAAAAAAATACGAAAATGGCCACACTAAATTAGAATAAACATCCATGTAGTTAAAAGGAGGGGATACTTAGCACTAAAAAAACAAGCAGCAGGGTAATACTGAAAGAAATGGTGAGTACTAAATTTTTCAAATTTGTGCAATAAAAAAAATTTTGAAGAGGACTGACACACCCAAAGACATCCGTAAGTTCTGACTACAGTAATTTTCAGCTATGGCACTCTGCCTGCAGAGATGTCTAACAACATTCCAGCTGGCTCTGCTACCCAGAGCCTGGCTGCAGCAACACAAAGCTCCGCACGGGCTGACCTGGCTAACGGAGAAACACCAGCAGGGTAAGCTGAGCCCCTTGTCAGCTCAGCCGGCACCCTCTGGCTCCTCAGACTGCCAGAGTGCCACGTCCAACACCTGGCACACTTTAAGTAAGTGTTTTCTGATGTCAGGACCTGACAGAACGTTTTAGAAAGACTGCACCCAGCAATTTCTCCCTCCTTGAACACCGGCCGGAACACTGGCAGAAGACAGCAGGGTGTTTGCACCCCAACAGGACATGGAGGATAGAAGGCAACGAGCGCTGTGCTAAAATCACTGTGCTTGATGGAAACAGGCTGCTGCAGATTATCATACTTCTCTTGGATTGCAAGCTTCCTCCAATTTTTCCTGAACATATCAAGTCAGGAAGTGCCCCTTGACCCCACCACATTCAGTGAGACTGTGTAGTTTTGGACTGCTGCTTCAGAAAGGTGCTAGGAGTGAGAATGGACTGCCCCGGCTTCCTGTTACGACGCTGTTACACGCGACCTGTGAGACTGTTTGGCTATTACAAAACATCGGAGAGGGGAAGAGGGTGGGATGGGAGGTGAACGTGCACGTGTTTGTACACACATCTGATGACTGCAGGACCCTCCCTCGTACTTCTGTGAAACAGAGTAGAATTCTACCTTCAAAGCAAGGATTTTTTTAGTTTTGACAATGTCAGTGAATTCCCAAGCAGGATTTTGAACTGGATGAAGTACACCAAGACTTCTAGGCTACGGCCCTGCCATTAGTTCTAACTCCTAAAAGCAATAAATGCACATATATGGCAATGTACACGTTCTTACGCTGCAGTACTTGACTACTGAAACGCACTACAAATATCTCCTATGAAAAGACTGTCGCTTGGGAAATAGAAGGGGATCTTAAAAAATACTTGGAAAGCACAGTCAGAAACACAGGTAAGAAGTCAACATTCCACTGCTATTTAGAAAGACTGAATTTAAATTGTTGTTCACACTGCCATAATTGGGTGTTGTTACACACTTGCCAGGCCTATGAGCAGGAAACATCAACTCTCCTTGATTTTGGATGAAGAATTCTTTTAATGTGACTTACTCTGAGAAGTGACACTCAGAAAAAGAACTCCTAGGCAGACTAGAAAAATCTCCTTACCAATGTGGAGAACGAGTTAACAAGAGACCTCACATGAGTATCTGCATCACGTTTAAGGCAATCACTTAGAACAGAATATGGATATTATATTACTGCTATGAGCATCAAGGTGGCTTTCACTGTGAAGTGTACTTCATAGTTTAAACAAATAAGCAAATTCCTCCTCCATGGGTGGAGAATCCTTATCTTCCAGAAAAACTATGACTTTAAAAGTGTTGGTGGAGTTAGCTGCTTCTGTCACAACAAACGTAAGGAGCACAGAGCTCAGTAGAAACCTTATCAAGAGCTAGGCCTTAGAGCACGGTCTCAACGCACTCGTGCTCTCACTTTTATGTCTTTGGCCAAAACTACTTAGAGCCTTCCAGTTAAGGTAGTTCGTTAGTTCCTGCAGCGTCGCACTGGTCCAGGAAGCAATGGTATTCAATTCACTGGTAAAGAAAAGTGTATTTTCTTCTGTGCTGTATCCTAAGCTGTTCAAGATTTCCAAATAACCAAAACCTATCTGTACACTACACCAAAACAACTTCCAAACTCACCACTATGATTCTATTCACTCGCCCACTCTGCTCAGATGCATGCACACCAGTTCTTTCTTAAAAGCAGCTTTCTCCTTAATCTTTGGAATGGCAAACTGGAGCCACGTAAGTCAGGAGGAAACAATTATCATAGAATCATAGAATGGTTAGAGTTGGAAGGGACCTCAAAGATCATCTAGTTCCCACCCCCCTGCTGTGGGCAGGGACACCCTCCACTACACCAGGTTGCTCAAAGCCTCATCCAACCTGGCCTTGAACACTGCCAGGGATGGGGCAGCCACAGCTTCTCTGGGCAACCTGGTCCACTGCCTCAGCACCCTCCCTCCGAGTGAAAAAATTTTTCCTTATATCTAATCTAAATCTCTCCTCTTTCAGTTTAAATATATTGCCCTGTGTCCTATCACTACACGCCCAGTAGCATTTCCGGCCAAAGCAGTCACCCGGGAATCCTCAGAAGAAAACAAGACTATCAAGTCTGAGATTGCCTACCCATCGACAAGTGGCTGGCAATCACCCTCAGAAGTTTGTGAGAGGGATTCTACCCAGCAACTGGCACCCCTTCACCTTCCACACCCTGGGCAACAGGCACACAGCTGATGTTCAGATCCTCACCTGTCACACCCTGACAGAGCACGGCAATGACAGAAGAGCTGTAAAAATGGATCAGTGGTATAGTAACGTCACCCTACGTACATGAAAGTGGCAGAAAGAGTGAAGTGCTAGAAATCAGAAGCAACATGCACTAGAACACCAGAATGAGTAAGTGTACTCATCACACCACAGGCAGCGACGGAGCTCTGCATCCTCCTATCCATCGTGCTGTTCACTATGCAGAGTAGTGACATTTTGTCAGCTATGGATTTCCACTTACTGTTCATACACATCTAGAAAAAAGTGTTTGCAAAACACAATAGTTTCCTTGCACAAAATAAGTACAGAGATTTTTCTCTCCGTGCTCACGTTTTACATGAAATCATTCAAATTTTTCCTGATGTAGTTCATTGACTGTACTCAAAACCACAGATTTTCTCAAGCAGCACACTGGTTATGATTAAGTTTCACGAGCTGGAGATGGTGGGGGGTAGGGGGAGACACAACAACGAACACACTCTTGGATTTTGCCTGGCCAGGGCTCTACAATCAGGTAATAAATCCCAATCATTTTGCAGCTCTGAACTCTTCGTTTGCAATCATGCTGCTAATTTCAGCTACAGCACCCCAGACATATGGCCACTTTTTCCAAACTTGTATTACTACAAAACACCTCTGTATTTGATTCAATAACATGAAATACAAGAATCGAGAACGGTCGGGACAGAAAAAGCCAATCTCCTCAACTTTTAGAACTTGATTAGCTCAAATAATCATGTTTAACAACAATGCCACCACCAAAAAGTACCCTCTGCCCTCAAATCAACCTTCACCTGCTTTACGTTTACTAGAGATCCAACAAACCTTCCTATTTGTATGCACCGTTCACTTCTACTCCATCAAGTTCAGTGCTTGGCTTTTAATGGAAAATGATTTTTAAATTTTGAGCAAAAATAATTTAGCATTTGAAAGTAATTTCCTTAAGAAACGGCCATTAAATGGTCTCAGTTCTTGTTACCTTTTTTCCAGAAAGTAAAGGGTTTTCTAGTCTTCCGCAGACATTTGCAATTTTCTCCCTTACTTCGTGACTTAAAGCAAAATAGCAGAGAATAAAGGGAAAGACTGAAAAAATCAGCAAAATAGTTTTCAGTTTCATGAAATACCCAAGTTCTCAGCTTTTGGGGTTTTTTCCAGTTTGTAAGTATTAAGTCTAAGACAAATACAATTTTGCATGCACGTTTGGAATCTATAAACTCTGCCTTGCAAGAAGGCAGTCTGCAAGTTTTGGCTTTCCTATACCGTAAAGTCTCCTCGAAGCAGAGAAAGAATGTTTTCAGTCATCAGGTACGACCGTATTTTCTTTTACAAACGGCAAGTATACAGCTGTGTTATTTTTCTGGCAGAAAAACCAATGAATACTCTTAGCTGCACCTTTCTCATACGTGGTTACGTGCTAAAAATCTAACCCTGTCTGTCGCACCTACTCCCCCAAAACCAGCAAGCCACCAAGAACTTGCCTTCACAGTGGCAACTCACATCCTAACATGACTGAGTACGTAAGTCTTGACAGTCTCCACACCCACGTGAGCGGCTACAGCACGCAATAATAGCTGAATTTTTATGCATGTGGACCAAAGACAACCCTTTGCAAAGCCCCACTACACTGTGTCGGTGTCTTTCTGCCACAAAAGATTCATGCTATATGGCACAGCATTTTCACCAGATGAGAACAAGCAGGTACATACTGATCTTCCGTTCCAAAAAACTTCACAAAGAAGCACTTTTTCCCACGGGGTTTCTTCAGATCTTTAGGTGGATTAACAATCTGAAGGTGATGAGAAATGAAAGTTAAAAAGCACATAATGAAAATCTACACTTTGATTTTACCATTGTGTGTTAACAGCTATTGCAGATTTATTTTTTCACCCTGACTAGGAAGAGAACTTGAATCTGTTGTAAGTCTTTCAAGTCAATATGTAAGCCCTGTATTTCCTCAGATATAGGTATGCTGCAGCAGAATGAAAAAGAACCCAAACTCCACTGACATATCATTACATTCTTAGTGAGACTTTCTTCTCCCTATCCCCAATAGACCAGCTAGCAAGCTTTTTTAAAATTCAGAAAGCTAAATGGCATTTGTAAAAGTTTGTTCCACTTGGGTAACTTTTAAAATTTACATTTAAAGCTTTGTCTTTACTCCCAGAATAGATCGCTTATAAAGTTTAAACATTAGTAAAGAGAAAAGTAGTCATTCAGTCACACGGGTGACACCTGAAAGACAGCAGGGGAGCCTGGACTTAACTTGATCCAATAATCAAATGTTTATGGTTGTCAGCCACATTGACAACACTTTTCCCTGCCACACGCTGTTATCTAAACATGCCTAGTCCTCAAACCTACACCAAAAATAAAAACAAAATTCTTTCAGGCAAGTAGAAATAATAAAAATGGCACATATAATTTAATTAAAAAAAAAAAATATCTTTTTGGCCTTTCCTCAGAAAAAAAACAGCCAAATCGGAAATTCCTCCCTACCTCCAAAATTATTAGTAAAAAACCACAGCTCAAAAGCAGTATCTTGAGAAGCCAGACTCTCTATTTCTATTATTTAACACAGCGCATTTAACCAGTTTACTATGGGAGGAAAGAAACCTGTCTGGCAGAAAGTCGTAGGGGCTAAATAACTAAATCTGGGAAACACAGTCAGTTCCAGAGTTGGATGAACTGCTCTCTGTTGCTTTTCATTCCACCTGAACTAACAGCTGTTAGTAACAGACTGAACTTCTAGATAAAAAAAGCCCTGAACTAGTTCAGTTTAGATTTATGGGGTAGGTATTTTAAAAAAAAAAAAAAAAAGTAAATCTCAACATTAATCTTTAACTTGCTTTCAGGCAAAGCTTTCTCTGTGCAGAAGGAAACAGTAAAAACGAACAAAAACCAAGAAAGCAACAATAAAAGCAAACCCTAAACAAATCTCACCTTTCCTGGCCATGGAGGATACCGGCCCAGCTTCCCCCTAGAGAAAAAAAAAAAAAGTATTAAGCACTAGAACCAGAGAAAACAACTATCCCATGTCTACCTCTGCATTACATCGTATTTTTCACACGAAAGAGAGTTACAACTTAGAGATGAAACCTCCCGTGAAAGACGCGCCACACAAGCGTTCTACTGTTGGACACCTGCACCTACACGCAGCCTCTGACCAGTCTGCGCAGACTCGCTGGGCTCTCAGAATGTACGTGAGCAGAACAGCAGCACAGCTGCCGCCTTGAGGGTACCATGCTCCAGCACTTGGCACTCTCGTGGGACTGATGCTCCCTCGCTCAGGTTGGTAACTTATATCCACCTGGACAGAACAGTCTAACGAGCAGAGCAGCCACCAATTTCCAGCTCGGAGAGCTGGCGTTCTTAGGAGTTCTCCCAGAAAAGCATTAAAGGCAGGATCCCCTGAACAGCTGTTCCTTTCCCACCTTCTTCAGGTGCTCGCCACCACAGTAAGATGTGCTAAAGATATAAAAGAGCCATAAGAAAGGCAGAAAAGGTTATTTCCTACACTGCAAATGTTTCTATTATGGAAACTACACAAAACTATTTCTTCACAGAGGAGGAAGAGAGACTCAGCAGTCCTCGGCATAGTGGCTTTATCATTATCTTAGCCTTGTCACTTCCTCAGGCTACAGCACTTTCACAAAACCTTATCAATCATTGTCTTGCAAGAGACTGGTGAAGAACCTGTGGAGGCCACCAGTTCCTGAACCAAAACTTCTCAGCAAACAGCACTGCAGGCCCTCATGAGATGGCAATGCTACACAGATGATCCAGCGGTGACGGTCGGGCAGGACACTGCCAAGAGCTGTAACCGTGACCATGTCTCACATTCCATGCTTCCGCTCCTGTACTGAACACCACGTCCATCAAAGCCTTTTACACATTACTGTCTTATTGTTACCGTTCTTCTGCAGCGGCTCTAGGAACAGCATCCATCTAGGTTGTCATGGACAAAACCAAAGCAGGATAACCTGCTTTCCAACACTGAGTGCAGTGCACTCCCCAGATCCTCATCTGAGAAAAAAAAATTTGCTAAAGAACCAATCTTTACTTACTTTGCTATACAAATTAGACAACTTCACAGCACTGTCAGTTTTTCAGATGAGAAGCTGCAGTTGTCACAGCTTGGAGCACGCGCTTCTTTTTATCTGGGATATAAATATAAATGCACGCACTCGTGTGCTGGGGATTAGCTGTTTCTTGCAAGCCCTAGCAGGACACTCCAGCCTATGCACTTCAATCCGCGCTTACAGGGCTCGCCGGAACCCCCTCAGCTCTCCTGAGCAGGAAATACGAAATCGCAGCTTTTTATTTGAGTGTAAAACTGGAGTGACAAGAGGAAATGGCTTTTGTGGGCTTCGACAGTGACACACTAGCCTGCAAAAAAGCGCCGTTTTCACGGATTGTGGTGTTGCTTCGTTAAAGAAAGCACTGCCAAGAAACGGCATCGTTGCTCTCCCCAAACACTGCCGTACGCCCCTTCTCATCGCCTTGGGAGGAGACCACGCTTCCACCCACCCCGCAACGACAGCTCCTGTCCTGCTCCCTCCATCTTACACAGGTTCTCT